ACCTTTGTATTACTTCCAGGTTCTTGCAGAGAAATGGGACATGAAGCCAGAAGCTCACTTAATTTGTTTAACAACATCACCCTGGGGATTTTATTAAGTGCCTGCCTGTGCTGTACGTCTCACTATTCTAAGAGCTTTCTCTGACACCGAAGACAGTCATTGCCTGTCCCGCGGGAGATTGAAGTTTGAATCAGACAACTATGAAGCCAATCTGTAGAAGAAAAACCAGACATCAGAACTCGTATTGGACAAAGACAGAGATACCTACTATTGTGATATAAAAATCAAAGAAGTAAGTGTATCAGTTTATTCTCACTTTAATATATATGTCTCAACTTAGTATTGGGTATGGTCTGTTGTTATAAAGTATTTTGAATAATTAGCTTAATTGTTGCTCTCTAATAATAAATTTACTTGCTTATGAAAAAAGATATAAAAAATGTTTGATGTTCTCAAATTTAATACTTATTTACTTAACATTTTTCAAAGTCCTACTGTATACCATTTACTGTGTGCTTAGTACTAGACATTATGCTTTTAATTAGAGTCTAATATACATTAGTACTTTTACCACTTCCTAAACAATAAAATACTTTAGAACATGTTAACTCCACTGTCTTCTCCAGTGCTTTGTTATTTTTGACATTTGTTTAATTCTACAGATATTTAAAATCTTCTAAGACATTACAATTATTGTTTTTTGCAGTCAGCATTTATTCAGAATTTCTGACATTGCCTTTTTTGTTGCTACTCATTTCTTTCTGAGTTTCCTTCTCTCTGCTGCTACTCATTTTCCTTCCACTTGAACTCTCTTTAGCATTTCCTGTAGTACAGCTCTTAGGGTGACAAGTTCTCTCAGGTTTTGGCCTGAAAATCTTCAATTCATCTTCCTTTTCGAAGGATATTTATTACTATTTATTGAATCTTAGGTTGGCAGTTACTTTTTGTACTTTCAAAATGTTGTTCCATTATTTTATTACTTCCATTATACCTTCTCTCTGGAGTCTCAACCACTCAGTTGTTTTGGTAGCTCTCTGGTGACTTCAACAGATTTAAAATAAAATTTCTCCTTTTTAGTTGTTCTCGACAGGAGAGTTTTTCTCTCCTGTTGACAAATCATTTGTATGGTTCTCTTTTAAGGTAAAAATGTCTTTTTCTTTTGGCTGTTTTTATGATTTTCACTTTTATTTTGTTTCCAGCAGGTTAATTATTCAAATTCAAAAGTGTAACTTTCTTTATATTTTTTCTACTCAGGGTTCATAGAACTTCTTAAATATGTGTGGCTTCTGTTTGATCAGTTTTAGAAAATTCTTAGCCTTTATGTCTCCCAATATGGCTTCTGTCCCATTCTCTTTTCCCTCCTTCAGAGAGACTCCAATTATACATATTTTTGAGTTTTTTGCTATGCTTCATATGTCTCTTAGCTTTTTTCTACATTTTTCATCCTTTTGACTCTGCTTCGGCTAAATACCGTGCAGTGACATCTGCCCATTTGTGCTCAATTTGCCCTTAACCCCACATACCAAGTCCTTAATTCCAGTTATTCTACTTTTTAATGTAGAAATTCCAAATTACTATTATTAGATTCTAATTCTCTGTTAAAATTCTTCATCTTGCCATTGCTTTCTTGAATATATTCATTTAGTTCTTTTAAAGCCTGTATCTCCTAACTCAATATCTATATCACTAGTTTTTCTCTTGTTCCTATAAACTGATATGCCTGGTAATTTTTTCTTGAATTCTGGATATTGTATATAAAAATTCATAGGGGCTCTGGAAGATGTTTTCTTCCCCTAGAAAGAATTTACTTTGGCTTTTGGAAAGCAGTTAGGTAAGGGGCAGATCACTTTAACCCAGCTAGGAATCGAATTAATTTAATGCTGAATTTTGATCTTTGTAAAAGCCTGTCTATTCCTGTATCTTTATAACGTAACCCTTCAAGGATCCTAATTTAAAAAGCCTTGGGTATTTACTGGTTCTGTATTCCAATTTCTCTCTTCCCAGCCCCATGAAACTGCCAAAAGCTCTGCTCACCTTCTCACCTACCACTTTTCTGCTGGGCGTCAGTGTTTCATCCTGCACTGAATTGGGCAGATGCCTCAAGAAGAAAAATGTGCTGAAACCCAGAGTCAAATTTACCTCCTCTCTAGAATCTCAATCATTCAATTCTTTTGGTAGCTCTCTGGTAACTTCAACAGATTTAAAATAAAATTTCTCATTTTTAGTTCTTGGCAGGAGAGTTGTTCTCAAACAGACTAATCAGTTACAGCCAGAAGCCAAGAATTTAATTTTTAAGAATTATTTCCCAGAAATCATGGTAGTCATATAGAGTCTCCTGACCAGAGATATTTCTGGTTTTATAAAATCAGAATCCTTCTTATTCTCTAATTCCATAATTGCTATGTAGTATAATTTTCTCGATTATGAAACAGTTGAGTCTGAAATAGAATATACACCAGTCTCTACTTGGTAATGTGAGAAGCCACACATCTCTAACCCATCTCCAAGTTGAGTGCTCCCAGTGCCTTTTGTATCTTCTTATATAACACTTACTACATTATAATGTAACCATTTGTTTATTTCTCCATCTCCTCTGTTAGACTGGGAGCTGGAACTCTGCTGTATTAACCTTTATATTTTCTGTATCTACCATAGTGTCTAACATTTAGAAGATATTCAGCAAGTGCTTTTAGAATAAAGAGCTCTTCTGGATAAGATTATTTATATAGATGGATAATACCTTTTAAATTCTCATTAGCAGTAGTTTGAATTCAGAAAGGTTTTTTCCACCCTCACTTTGCCCACATTTTGGATGAATACCCTGTTTAAAGTCTGTGTATTCCCATGAATTGAAAGCATTCAGGGGGATTTGGGGGTTCTCAGTATTGAGATAATAGAAGAGACTAATGATAAAGTACAACAAAGGAAGAGAATGATAACCCTGGATAGCATGGACATTTTTAAATAGCTGTCAGGTGATAAGTGCTCACACTTGCCAGCATCCCAGATCTCTGAATTTAAAGTTCAGGGTTGTATCAGATGTACAGCAGAACAAATAAGGGATGTAGTACCCCCTGGAATCGTGATCCATCCAGCCCAGTGTTCTGATTCTGGCCCCAACAAACTTTCTTCTATACCAGTGCTGCTCTCACTTTTTATTGGCTAAAGACATGCATGGGAACACTTAAGTTTTATTTGAATCAGTATATATTTTTTGCTATATTATTAAAAGTTAAAATTATAGTGCTGTTAGATAATACTGTACTCAAATTATTCTGTACAAGTACCTGACCTACTTTGCTTTTGTTCCAGATGACTGGTATCTGAATTCTACTAAGTGTATAGTGAGTATATTTTTCTATTCGAAATTAAAGTTGGACTTATTTAAATTAAGGATTTGGTTTACTGATAGATATTTCCTTCTTCTTCAGGTTCGGATCCTTCTTCATGCTTATCATTTGGCATTTTCAATAACTTGAACCAACAGAGCCATTAGTAACAGTTACATGGACTTCCTTTTACTGATTTTCATATGCCCCAGAAATATACCATCCCATGTTTAAAGGATAGGAATCCAAAGAATTCTTATCTTTATTCCCTAACATCGCTTACCTACAACACATTATCGGTCAATTTTATGTGATTCCTACCTAACATGCCAAAATCAAAGTTAAATGAAATGTTTTCTTTAAACTTTTCTTACTCCCGATTTTAGAAATAAAAAAATATATTTATTTCTGAGATTCCAGCTTCTGTTAATGGTGGAATAGCTTGATCATCTATAGGCAATAATGAGAAATGTGGACAATTTGAAAGTATTGGAGAGTAACCAGAAGTGGGTAGAAACTGAAGAAGCCTAACCTTGAAAGACAATGAATGACATTTAATGAGTTTTTCTGAGGGTATTCTTCTATCTTGCCAGAGACCCAAACAGAAGGTGTCAAACAATGGAGTTCAAGGCCAACAGAACTAAAAACTTAGAGGGAAAAATCCTCCCCCTCCCCCACCCCCAAATACTATATGTGAAGAAATAGGAAAATGTGAGACTTCTTCAAGGGGAAAAAAGTCAATAGAAACAGACCCTGAGATGACCCAGATGTCACAACTAGCAGACAGTGACTTTAGAGCAGCTGTTAAAAACATAGTCAAGGACTTAAAGGAAGATATACAGAAAACGAATTCATATTTGGGGAATTTGAGCTGAGAAATAGAAAATATAAAGAATGAACCTATGGAAATTCCAAAGCTGGAGAATTTGCTGGACGAAGGCTTAACATCAGATTGGTGACAACAGAAGAAAGAGTCATTGAACTTAGAAGATCAATAGAAATAATCTAATCTGAACAACACAAAGAAAAACAATTAAAACATATATCTCAGGTGAAGGTAGGAAATAAAAATATGACAGAATTGAAGTGAATGCTCAGTGCTAATTATAGCATTCAATTCTGCAAAGAAAAATTATTAAAAAATAAAACATGGATTTTGAATATCTAATCCTTATAGTGTTTCTTCAAGGGTGAGAAGGAACCTATTATGTAGTTTCAAAGGATCATGTTTTTCTTGGTTTTCATAAGGTCATTTCTCTTATGTGGACATCAGTTTCTTAGCTTTGTGTCCTTTTTTATTTTCTCATTTCTTCTAGCGGCCAATGGCCTTTTCCTTCTGTGTGCTGTATTTAGGAGCCAGTTAATTATGAAATAGGAGACAGTTTTCAACAGTGGACTAAGGCAAAGGAAACATGTGGGATAGGTCATCATTGAAGGTTCCATTCTTAAATGGTTTGCCTTTTGATGTATTCTCGTGTTGTATTTTACATTGACTATAATTTTTGAGTTCTTGATATATCAAATCATAGTAAAGCATTTAATTATTTCTAAGCAACAGTCTCTCTTAAGAATCTATGGATACAAAATACCAAATGATATTTCAAAATAAATGTTTTTTAATTACTGATCCCTCTAGACAAAATTCTGTTTCTTTTGGCTTACATTTTGTAGGTGTTTCACCAAAACGAATGGCACTTTCAGCAGTACCCCACTTCCTGTGGTTCCAGTGATAGCACCTTATCCTCAGGATGGTTTGGAAATGAAGACCCTCAGTCACCTGAAGATGTCTATGTGTCTGGCTTCCACAGCCCCCAGCTGTGGCCAGTCACCTGAGGAGAGCATCAAGGATGATGTGGCACTAAGACCTGCTCAGCATACTTGCTGTCAGGATCATAGGAACGAGAGCAACTCTGATTCCACAGAAGATGCAGCGGAGTTCAACAGAGGTACAGGCAGACATTATAAAACTTAAGTTTCGAGATAGTCTTCAGTTAGTTCAAGATAAGGGAAGATGATGTAGATGTGTTCTGTGATCGATCGACTCTCCTATTTCTTAAGAGAGTAGGTGGGGTGTTAGATACTTCAATACAAATTCACTAGGTAAAGGATTCTTTGGAATTTTATTATTCATTTACTTCATCTCAGGCCATTAATTCCATTTCATTTGGAAAATAAATCCAAATAGGCTTTGATTCAGTTTGTACCTGGACAGTAGACTTGCTGGAAGAATGCATTTTGGGGTGGTCATGGGGCCTCTTTTTCATTTGAGTTGATTCTTGAGTTGTAGCCTTTCTTTAAGGTGGTTATTTGGGGGCTTTCAAGGAGCTTGCTTTAACCCTCAGATGAATTGCATAACTGTTCATGAGAGTTCAACTTTATTCTAAACCTTTTATAGCTAGTGCCACCCTCAGATTCACACTAAACATAATTGGGCTCTACTTTTACTCGTTAGTCTTTCTTTATTGCTCAAAGTAATGTTTTTAGACTGCTTTGTAATAATCAGCCTTTATCACTTCATAATGCTTCCAAACCTTTTGTGTTTTTCAGAAGACAGCTGTGTCCATTCCGAAACAGAGAACAAAAATTTAAGTTGGAATCCTCTTATTTTGCCATCTGTTTCAGAGGACTGTACTGAAAAGACAATATGGTCTCCTCCTGGCATTCCTTTAGACAGCCCTTCAGGAGTCCTTCAACAACCCCAGGAAACCTGAGAATGTGCATGTGACAAGAAACCTGAGAATGTGCATGTGACCAGCCACGTTCCCAGTTCAAGCCAGTAACTGTACGAAACAGGCTTGGGGATAGACTGAAAGATGTTAATTCAAATCAGAGAATATCTTTATTTATTTTTGTAGTAGTAATGTCATGTGAATGTATCTTACAATGTGTGCCCTTTTATATTATTTATGCCTTAAATTTTTCTCTCCCTTTTCCTTCCTCCCGCCTAGGTAGGAAACCTAGTTTTACATAGTTTTCAATCATCTGAGAGAAGTGGAGTCATTCCACGTTTTCCAAGAATCTCAGTGACAATAAGAGCTCCTCCTGCAAGGACCCAGCCTGTTGGCTGATCCAGCTAAGAGGGAATTGCTCGGGCCGTTTGAAGTTTTCAGTTGGAAAGCTGTCTTTCAATGTCGTGTTATCAGACTTTCTGAGAACATTTTGGAATCAACCACAGTTGTACCCTGCTGTTCATAATAGCAGATCTCTTATGAATTTCATTAGTGCCTTCCACAAAAGTGATAGCTGACCTGTTGACTATCTGCATGTGGGCACAAGTTATTTTCAGTTTTCTAGGCACTAATCATGCACAGTGTCATGAATATGGTTAAGGTTAAGGTCTAGTTGGGTTACTGCAGCCTGCAGAAAGGGAACCAAGGCCAGAGAGAAGAATGCCTTCACGTCCTACTGCTTTACAATCGCATTTCTTTGTGAAATGGTCACCATGGGCCTCTTTGGGACTGTTTCTAAGAGATAGGAACAAAATACAACTTTGAAGGGGTACTTGAAGAGAAAGATTCACATTTTAAGAAGAAAGGGGAGGGTTTCAAGGGAACCCATCTTGGCAGAAGCTCTCCCATTTCTATAGGATTGTGGTCGTGGTGCCACGGCACCCAAAAATTGTCATTTTCTAACTTCCAACATGGGCAATACCTGGAAAACGTGTTGGACAAGACTTAATTTGGAGGGAAAGGGGGATATGGTTTGAAATTTCCTGACTTTTTTTCGGAATGTCGTCATTGTAAACAGGCAGAGCTCATAAATCACAGTTACTGCTGCCTCCGAGTGACAGGGTATTTGCAGCTGCCGTTAGAAGGCTTTTCTTCTCTACATCTAAAAAAACAAAAACAAACCTTCAAAACACCATAAGTATGTTTAATAGCTTGAGTCCAACTGCAGTGGGTCACCGCCCCTTTTGGGATCGTGCGTCCCTTTTGGGGAAGAAAGTGAAAACGCTTCTCTGGAAGCCCAGTAGTTCCAGCGTAAATGAAAAAATTTTACCGTTTCCTAGAAATTGCCGTGAAATAGACTAGAATACTATGTTAATCAATTTTCTATATAAGTGCGTCAGTATTCCCTTGCATATGTCTATATATTTTATACATAGAACTGTTAGTGAAATGTGCTGTTGAAGCTGAGTCACTATGCCAGAATTCCTTCAAGTAGAATGTAGTGGATATAATTTCGGGTCAAGTGTTAGGGATGCTATAGAATCAAGTTCTCCATTCCAGGTGTCCGTGCCTGTACTATACTGGATTTATTCTTCATGTTACATAGATGCAATTAGCTTTTGAGGGGGATAGCTTTATCCCTGACTTCTGTGACTAGCAAAGGACTAAGTCCCAGTACACAGAATATGAAAATGTACCCTGTGTTGGCCAATCAAGTTACAGCAATGCTGTCACAAAGCGAGTTTTAGAAAACTGGGGAATAAATGTTCATAGGCAGTCATTTTGATTCAGGAAACAGGTATATTAGCATGAGCCTTAGGTCATAAACTGCTTTTAAAGATGGAGTTTCAATATGAGATTTGTCCACCGGGAAGAGAACACGACTTTACCTTTAGGGCAATCTCATTGTGGACTGCTTTATTTATATTATTAGTAACGCTGTTTTAAGTGTTATCCCTTTTATTGTATTTTATTTATAAAAAATGCCTTTATATATTGAGATATATAAATATAAATATAACTATATATAACTGTCTTTATGTTTAGGAGTTATGAGTTCTCCCTAGCCATGAGGCGTTCTGAAGTTTCCTGCCCTGCACAGTCACCAAAACCAGTCCTGCCTAATGTCACTTCACCAGGAGGTCTGGGGACACAGTATATTTCATTGCAGGAGATATCACTCACATTTGTGGAGTAACTGTTGTGTACCAGGCACTGTGTTTGGAGCTTGTTACTGCTATCTCATTAACCCACACAGCAAACCCACAAAGTAGGTGTTGACGTCCCCAAGTCTCACAGTGAGCTGCAGAGCCTGAATTTGAACTCAGTTGATGTGGAGCTGTAATCCGAGCTCCTTCCATTTTTCCATGCTGCTTTCCAAAAACATTGTGGTTCACTCTTTTAATGGAACCGGTCCAGTTCTGCATGCTCCAGTCCGCCCCTGCTGCTAGATTCCTCTGCCACTCTTAACTCTACAACTAGAGAAGCTGCCCTCAGTCCCGTGTGGCAGAGCCCTGTGCTTATTCCTTAGTCTTCTTGGAGTCCACGTTTCTCTCTGTGAACCCCTCACCACCCCCTGCCCCCCAGAATCTGATCTTAACTCAGTTTAGTGATACTGTAGTTGGTCAGGCCTCTTTATATTCCTTTTCATATTCCTTAGAATGCTCCATGATTCTTTGTTTTAGCATTAAACTTCCCCACTTCTGTTCTATCACTTCGCTATCTCCTTTTTTTTCTTCTTTCGGTTATGCACTGGTAGTCTGGTGACAGGTGATGGTCTGGTGGTGTACAGGATTTAACATTGTAAGTTAAATTGCAGTGCTTTAAACCTTTCGAAGTGGTCTTTTAAAAAGCATTTCTTCCTTGGTTTTGTTTTTGTCAAATGAGTCCGCGAAGACCAGTACATCCATATTAAGCCGATCGTGTCACAAATCTCATTTCAGCTACAGTACTGCCAAGAAGTTAACTTTACAATTGAATTTCACCTGTGTTGCTCTCTTTTCAAGCAATGACTTTGAGATGCATGTTTTGTATTATATTGAAAAGTATGTTTTATTTGCCTGAAAGTTGTAATAATAGTATGTTTGAAACTGTACATATTTTAAATGATGTAGCTTTGCCAGGTTTTCTTTGGTTGATACGATTTTGTATTAAAAGAGAATGCTGCTTCCATGTAGAGTGGCAGTGAAGATGGGGTGCCCAGATGCTCCCTGTTTGTATAAAGCTGCTTATAGCTTGTGACTAGGGTGGGTATGTGTCTTATGTCTTACTCTGAAATGTTTTGGAACCTCCACCCTGCCCTTCCCTGAATCCTCACCCCCACCTCCCGTGCATATCCAAGAGCCAAATGAGTCAATTCCTTCTGTTCTGACTCCAGAGATCCAGACCCTGGTGGAACAGGATCTAGGACAAGTGTTTTATGGGAAGGCCAGGGAAATACCTGAGCCACAGAGCTGCGTTGAAGCAGGCAGATCCCCTTAGGGGAGCTCAGCATTTCATTGGAAGGAAGCGAGGAGCATGAGGAGAAAGGGGACGAGTGGTCCCTCCTTGCACATCATCTGTTTTTTACCATCAACCTAGAGCAGCATCTGTATGAGCTCCAGAGTAGAATTTAGCCTCTTCAGGAAGCAGCTTTGTTTCACTGCCCTAAAAGATCAAAGCAGCTGGACGACTTTGACCAGAAAGCCACTGGGGTCTTTTGATTGGGTGGGGCCTTGTTATATTTTATTCCTCATATTTAAATAAGACTTCCTCAAGCCTTAGCCCCAGTCCTGAGGGCTCTGAGGGAACTCGAAACTCCTTTTCTAATAAAGTCTAATCTGTGAGAACCTAAGAAGCAACTTCAGTTTCTGTCAGTTTTCTGTCTCCTTTCAGGCGCCACTTTTCGTATTCCTGGCAAGACCATCCCTTGGCTCTCTTGCTGTTTCTTCTCCTCTGAGTCCCCTGCGGAGCCAGCCCTGAGTCCTAACCTTTCTAGTCAGTTGGAACAAGCATTCGTTTGTGTTTCACCCAAATTTCAGACCCACGCACACTTGGAGCCAGTGAGTCATACTGGCAGCTGACAGAGTATGACTTTGGAATAGCCCGGTCTCCCCTGTCGGCCAGCTCCACAAGGCCTGGTGGCAGAAAACTGCATCTGCAATACTTCTGCTTTATCTTGTTGTCGCAGACTCCCGGAGTCTAGCGACTATCCCTTTGACCACTGCAGACTCAGTGATATCCCTACGCCAAAAGTAGAAGACAAAGCCCTGGGATTGGCACCTGGCTCTGCCACCAGCCCTGATTAAGCTGGTCCTATAATAGTAAAGTATGTGTCCTTCGGGAAGGAATTTGAGACGTGGAAAGTAAAGGACTAGAAGACCGTGTCTCTTCCTGCAGTCGAATGAAGGGAACACGTACCTACATACCTTGCTTCCCATCTCCTAGCTTCCTCCCAGTAGGAGAACCTGGGGCCCACCTGAACCTTGGGATCAGCCCCTCCCCGTGGGAGTTGCAATCAGAATGACCCTCTACTATTGAGAGCATCAAGTATGGTTTATTTAGGAATTATTCAATTCATGGACTTTGCTGGAAGCCGCTAGCTTGCTCATACGGGACTAGGCACTGTTCCCAACACCATCATTCTCACCGGCCGTCGGATACCCAGCTGCTCTTTTCTCCAAACGTGTGTCTTCCTTGTCCTTCCACTTCTATCTTCTACAAGCTGGGCCAGGACTTCTCTTGTAACCCAGCCATTTAGAAGCACCGCAGCTGAGCTTTGCACTGGTCGTGAAGGCTGGATGGGGAGTGGGGAGTGGGGAGTGGGGAGTCGGTGTCTTTGCTACCTTGGTTTTAAGACCAGGTGTGATAGAGGGGATCTTTCCACCCCAACCTGTCTCCCTAAGCATATTTGTACCTTTCTCTTGAGGCTTCACGGTGTTGCAGTCACTGTGATGGTGACATTTACCGGTGTATCTGGGGATTCCTGTGCAGGGTCTGAACCTGGGATGGTGGATGGTGTTTCAATGCCTAAAAGAATAGACGTGAACAAAGGAGAGACACTTTGGGGGTGTCCCACACTCTGCTTAGAGGACAAGAGAGACTGAGCATTGTGCATAAAACTCAGGACTGCTCTCCTTATCTTTGGGAAAAAAATTGTGCCTACCTGCCTGTGCCCCACAGCCTTCCATTGACCCCCTATGTTGATGACTTTGCTCCCTGAGGGGAAAGTGGGAGGGTAAAGTTAATGACAACCCAGCTTTCCCCAGCCTTCCTTCCCAGTTAGAGGAGAATCCTAACCCCCACAGTGATGGGTGCCATACTCACATGGGAGCAAGCAACCGACCAAGGCCTGTAAAAAGCAAAGGAAAAGGTACGTTACTTGAGCAACCCAGCCTAGGTGGAAAGAGAATACCCCTCCCTTGCCTGTTAGCTCTGTATGGGAGACTACAGACCCGGAAGGAGATGGCCCCAGATTCCTGAGGTCGGGGTTGGAGCCCCAAGGGACCTCTGTCACTGGGGAAGAGGTCACATGCAGAAAAGCCCAAATTTCTTTACCCCAGGGGTGGGGGATCTGGACCTCCCTCAGGTAGGTGTAGACCTGACCACCTTATGGGATCAAGAAACCCTGTCTTCAGCTTCCCACTCACGAGGGAACGTCTCTGGGTGCCGAGCAGCGTACTGGAACACCAGCAAAGAGGCCACTGCTGCCACCACCATTCCTGTGCCCGCTGCACCCAGCACTGCCGGATAGGCGCTGATGGGGGGCTCCGCTAGGAAGGGAGAGCGCTGGTTGCATGGGTGGGTTTAGAGCCATGGCTGAACTCGGCAGCTGTGGCTTATAGGGTACTGAGCCGGCAATGCTCTCCCCTCCCCCTGTGGTGGGTGATCAGGAGCAATGCCGGACCCAAGAATCTGGAGACCAGGTCTCTCCCAAAGAAAGAGGTGCTCTGTGAGCCTGGTGCTCCTGAAGTCCCCAGCTATTTCTGGCACAGAAGTCAGCAGGCCAGTTATCTTGTGCTCCAGGAGGTGAGACCGAGGCACAGAGTTGGACCCCTATCCTTATTTAATTTCCCCCTTCCCTATTTCTTCTGATTCAAGCTTAACTATGTGGCTCCTACACCTGGGCCTGAGGCCTCCGGGGCCTCCCAGGGAGGGATGGGAAAGAGCAGTGGAGAGTATCTGAGGAAAGGGTGGGGAAGAGGGTAGAGATGGGGATGGAGGAATTCAGTAGGAAGAGAGCAAAGGAATGGAGTAGGGGCTACCCCATGAGGTGGAAGATGAACCAGAACTCAGGTTTGGAGAAAAAATGGCGAGCCTCGCCGTGGAGCTAGTCCCAGCACCTGGCGTCTTCACTTCAGAGGGATGTCCCGTTGTGTGGTGATTCAGAGCCAGGACTCGGAAGGCATACAGGACCCCTGGGTCCAAGCCCCCCAGCCGCCGGGTCCTGCTCTCCGGCTCGATGTCACCAGCTGCTGTCTCCCAAGCCCCAGCTCCTGGGCCTGGCACACTGGCCCTCCGTTGCACCAAGAAGCCTGTCAAGTTCCCGGGGCCTTTGATGGCCCAGTGCAGCTGCACCTCTCTCCGGTGTCTCCCGTAGGTCAGGCGGCTGATGGTGACGTTGGGAGGAGCTGGATACCCTGGGGTGAGGGCAGGGACACATAGAGCACATGTACCCCCACAAGCACGTGTGCATGTGTGCTTCTGCGCCCATGTTTGTTCCCGTTTTGTTGAGAGACAGCTGGTGGAGTGAAGAAGGCCCCAGACTGAGGTGTGTAAACTTGACCAGTTCTGTGTAGTTTTGGTCTGTGTCACCCTAGACTTGCACTTCTAGGCCTCAGTTTCCTTGTCTATCAACGGAGGAAAAGGAGATTATTCTGACCACACAGAGTCCTATTTGCCTGTATGCAGGAGTGCACGCACTTCACATTACTGTCCCTTTAAGGGCCGATCTGCCTGAGGGAACTAAAGTGTCCGAAGCAGGGAATTCCAGTGTCTCTCACTTACAGGGCTCTGGCTGGAGGGTTCCCAGGCCCCTCACCACATAAACGTACCCTCCCGCCCCCTACTCACTCAGGACCTCCAGCAAGACGCTCTGACTGCTGTTGCCCAAGGCGTTGTGAGCCACACACTGGTAGGTGCCACTGTGGTGAGCTGGGTTGGCCCCCCGGATACCAAGGCGGAGCTGGGATCCTTCAGGGTGCAGCATGAATCTGGAAGTGCCTGGTTCCACTGGCCGACGCTGGGGTCCCAGCCAGAGAAGCTGGGCAGGTGGCATGCCCCCCAGAAGGGCACACTCCAGCCAGGCCTCTTCCCCCTCCAGCACCGACACCTGGGGCTCAGCCACTGCCAGCTGTGGGGCTTCTGAGGAGACAGAGAGCAAGGCTGGGATATGTCCACTGTGCCTGAGCTAGCGAGAAGGCTTGGGGGTAGGGTGCTGGCCAGCGGTAGAGGGGAGGAGAAAGAGAGAGGATGGGGCCTGTGGAGTTGACGGTGAAGCTTGTCTTGGGCCAGTCTGCCGCCTCGTTCTGGCTTCCATCCTATGGCAGATTCCTATCACAATCTGCTCCAAAGTTTAATGATAATAGCAGTGTTTCTCCATGCTTTTCTCCACCTAACCCCAGGCTCAGCTCCTGCAAGTGGGCCCCTGCCTTACCCATCTCGGCGTTAAGCCCCTCCTCCCTCCCAGCACCTGGCCCATGGCCTCCTCTCTTCTAGCGCCCACCACCCTAGCACAGGGCCGGGCCCATAGAAGGCGATCAGTTTTGTGGGCTGACTCCTAAAAACCCAGTTTCAGGTGTCGATGAACCTCCTGTGATGGGATTTCCAGCTCTGAGCCTGAGGAATCAGGGAGAGAAATGTTTTGGGTTGAGACTTTCTTAAGCCCCTAAAAACATGCCAGTCACCAAGGCTTGGAGACCAAGATAAAACTCATCTTGTGAGAATTGTCATATATGACTGCTCCTCTACTTGGTTTTCTCTTATTTTTTAATTTCAATATTTAATTCTTTTTCTTGAGTTGCCAATAAGTGGGACTGGCAGGGCCAGATGAAGACAGAGAAAGAAACCAGACCAAAAACAACTAGAGAGAGTAAGAGATGTAGAGACCACGGACACCTGAAACATTAATTCAAGTCGGGAATGTAATCAGGCATTTCTCATGCAAATCGGTGTGGATGGGGCAGACAGCGAGCGGCACCCCTCACTGGCTAGGTGGGTGTAGCCTCCAGCCACACGTGACTATGAGCACCTGAAGTGTGGCCGGTCCCCCCTGAGATGTGTTATAACTGCAAATACACACCCCAAAGTTTGAAGATAGCAGAAACAGAACAGTGTAAAATATCTCATTAATAATTTTCTACTGCACATTGAAATGGTCATATATTGGATATATTGAGTTGAATAAAATGTCACCTCTTTTTGCTTTTTTAAAAATGTGGCTGCTAGAAAATGTTCAATTATACATGTGGCTCACATTATAATTTTATGGGCCAACACGGACCTCTAGACTGACTAAACCCCCTGATTTTATGGGTCAAAAAAGCTTGAGGCCCTGGGAGGTGAAGTGACACAGTCACCTGACTCACTTTGCATTCCAGCACAGCCACACCCCAGAGCCCCTCGTCCCAATTCCAAAGGGCTGCTCCTCCTCCCCCAGCCCCAGAACCCTGTCACCAGCTCCCACTTACCCAGCTGGAGCCGACAGGAGGGGTCAGGGACCCTGAGTGGGTGAGTGCCCCTGCAGGTGAACTCTTGGCCAGCCAGATCTTCCTGGGCCTGCAGGAGGTGGACTGCCAGCGAGGAGGTGCTGCCGCCCAGGGGCTGCTGCTGTCCATCTAGCC